CTGTTGGGCCCTGGACCGGTACTGCCTGGATCTCTGCGGTATTCAAAAGGTCCGATGGACTGGCTCTGGCTCCTGTCATCATGAGGAGTGGACAGTCCTCTACTCGGGGCAGGAGACTGCCAAACAACGAGTGGTTCTTCTGAACAAAAGAATGAAGGAGGTGCAGGAGTGTGGTGGTGAGGTGTGGGAAGCTGTACGCTACAGGCTACCTTGCACTCGCCTTCCCATCAACCTGAGGAGAGGAGTTGTGGTGGTTACTTATGCCTCCACCGAAGACGAACATTGGTGGAGGGAAGCAGGCAAGGCCAAAGAGTCAGATGCCTTCTTTGACCTCCTGTCAAAGGTGCAAGATAAAGTGACCCCTCAGGATAGAATCATCCTGTTGGGTGACTTTAATGCCCAAGTGGGGGGAGGCCTGTCTCTAAAAAGAGGTGTTGTGTCTCTGTGGGGAGGTGTTGTGCCTCTGTGGACAGGTGTCGTGTCTCTGTGGGGAGGTTTTGTGTCTCTGGGGGGAAGTGTTGTGTCTCTGTGGGGAGGCGTTGTGTGTCTCTGGGGAGGCGTTGTGTCTCTGGGGGGGAGGTGTTGTGTCTCTGGGGGGGAGGTGCTGTGTCTCTGGGGGGAGGTGCTTATGCCCACACTGAAGACGAACATCCGTCGAGGGATGCAGGCAAGGCCGATGAGTCAGCTGCCTTCTATGACCTCCTGTCACAGGTGCTGGCTAAAGTGGCCCCTCGGGACAGAGTTATCTTTTTTGGTGACTTCAATGCCCGAGTTGATCATGATGCTGGCACCTGGTCTGGAGTGATTGGACGGCATGGGCCAGAACAGCTCACTAACAACGGCAGGAGGCTGCGAGATTTTTGTGCAGCCCATGGTCTCGAGGTGTTATTTCTGTGGGGAGGCGTTGTGTGTCTGTGGGGAGGCGTTGTGTCTCTGTGGTGAGGGGTTGTGTCTCTGGGGGGAGGTGTTGTATCGCAGTTGGAAGGTGTTGTGTCTCTGTGGTGAGGGTGTTGTTTCTCTTGGGGGAGCTGTGGTGTCTCTGTGGGGAGGTGTTGTCTCTGGGCGGAGGTATTGCGTCTCTGTGGGGAGGTTCTGTGTCTCTGGGGGCAGGTGTTGTGTCTTTGGAGGGAGAATTTCATCATCGTTTGCGGCTGGGGTTGGCATCGTCCCCCACTCCTCCTGATGTCGAGAGGAAACGGGCGAGGTTAAGGACTGTGGCTCATGCAGCTGCAATGGCTGCTTCGGGTACACGGTCCAGAACTCCCCAGAGACCCTGGCTGACAGAGGAGGTATTCAGGCTGGCTGAGAAAAAGCGACAGGCCCACTCTCATCGGCTACAGCATCCCACGTCGGAGAATGAGGCTTACCACAGCCTTCGCTCGGAGGTTTGGAGAGCCATGAGGCGCTACAAGGATTGGTGGTGGTCGCGGGTAGCTGAGGGGATGGAGTCTGCCTCAGTGGCCGGCGATCACAAATCACTCTTTAATTCCATCAAAAAAGTAACCTGCAGCGCCACACCTATTACCATAATTAGGGGAAAAAAACGGTGATCCAATCTCCAACCCCCAGGAACAAGTTTGCAGATTTGCTGAGCATTTCTGAGGTCCTGGGGGAGGGGACATCCCTCAGCCTGGATAACGTGGGACAAAGTGGGGATGACCCTGCCGAGGCTGTGGTGCCTCAAATATTGGAAGAAGTCACCCCCTGTGAGGGGCTGGCTGAGGTGCCATCTGTTGAGGAAGTACTGAAGGCGATCCAGAGTCTGAGACCAGTAAAGGCAAAGAGCAGAGATGATCTCCCAAGCGAAATTCTGAGGGAGGGTGGTGTTTGTGCACAGACTGCCCTACATGACATTATAACAACAGTCTGGACCACTGGACGGGTTCCGCAGGACTGGAAGGATGCCCTGGTGGTCCCCCTCTTTAAGAAGGGGGACCGCACATACTAACAACTACAGAGGCATCTCACTTCTCAGTGTGCTGGGAAAGGTCTTGGCAAGGATTATTCAAGATCGCCTTGCTAGGCATGCTGAGGAGAGGCTTGCGGAGCCCCAATATGGTTTCAGGAAAGGGTGGTCCTGCACAGATGTGATTTTCTGTCCGTCTGCTACAGCAGAGGTGTAGGGATTTCCAACAAAACCTACATCTCTGCTTTATTGACCTGGTCAAGGCATATGATACCATCAGTAGGCCTGAGTTCTTTGTTGTTCTTCGTGCTTTCGGAGTCCCTGACCCTCTGCTCACGATCATTAAGGACCTTCATGATGGCGAGCGCGCCTGGGTAAAACTACGTGGCCGGGAGTCGGAGCTATTCGCTGTACACCTTGGGGTGCGACAGGGATGTCCTCTGGCTCCCACATTATTTACCATCTATTTTGACCACGTAGTTCGTGAGGCCTTCAATAGCTGTACCGGAGGAATTCCCATCTGGTACAGATGCAATGGGAGGCTGATTGATGCCCGGGTGCGTTTCAAGGGATGGCTCCCTATTGCTCAACCATGTTATGTATGCCGATGATCTGGTAATCGCTGCTCACTCAAAGGAGGAGTTGGAGGTGCTGCTGCTAAACCTGGAGCTTGCCACTAAGAGGTGGGGCCTTACCATCAGCCCCACCAAAACTAAGCACCTGCCAAAGTATTTTGTACCATCGGACACTCCACCCCCACAACTCCCAATTGGTGATGGGGCAGTTGTGGAGAGAGTGGAGAGTTTCCCATATCTGGACATGTGCTTATGACCAGCTCCGGTTTAACAGCAGAGGTCTCACTCCGAATCAATCGAGTGGCATTATTTTTTCATCGGTTGCGTAACGCTGTGTGGAAGCTACAGTGAGGGAAAAAAGTATTTGATCCCCTGCTGATTTTGTACGTTTGCCCACTGACAAAGAAATGATCAGTCTCTAATATTAATGGTCGGTTTATTTGAACAGTGAGAGACAGAATAACAAAATCCAGAAATAACGCATGTCAAAAATGTTATAATTGATTTGCATTTTAATGAGGGAAATAAGTAGTTGACCCCCTCTCAATCAGAAAGATTTCTGGCTCCCAGGTGTCTTTTATACAGGTAACGAGCTGAGATTAGGAGCACACTCTTAAAGGGTTTGGTCTTAATCTCAGCTTGTTACCTGTATAAAAGACACCTGTCCACAGAAGCCATCAATCAATCAGATTCCAAACTCTCCACCATGGCCAAGACCAAAGAGCTCTCCAAGGATATATATTCTTGGTTCTTTCGGTAAAGTCACGTTGAAAGGAAACAATAAAATAATATATATTGTTTTATATATATTATTTTATTACTCTTTGGTTCTATTGTTTCCCTTCAACGTGACTTTACCGAAAGAACCAAGAATATGAATCACTGCAGTCACGAAAGCCTTAAATCAAAACTCTCCAAGGATGTCAGGGACAAGATTATAGACTTACACTAGGCTGGAATGGGCTACAAGACCATTGCCAAGCAGCTTGGTGAGAAGGTGACAACAGTTGGTGCGATTATTCGCAAATGGAAGAAACACAAAAGAACTGTCAATCTCCCTCAGCCTAGGGCTCCATGCAAGATCTCACCTCGTGGAGTTGCAATGATCATGAGAACGGTGAGGAATCAGCCCAGAACTACAAGGGGTACCTCTGCGGATGTGTATACTTTAACTTAGCTATTTCAATGAGCCATTTCAATGCTAAATTATATGCTAATTCCTTTGTCAAGGCGCGTGGTCTTTTTCTTCTCACACAGCTTAAAGGTCGTGATCTAAGCGTGGCTTCTTCCACTCCAGCGCTGTCCTCCAGACAGTCTCGTCCCTTCACCTGATGAAGGCCGCTTGTGCTGTGGCCGAAACGTCGTGATTTTTTGTTATTTTATTTTCACCTACGTGACTTTACCCAATAGAACCAAAGAGTATAAACAGCTTTTGTTCGGTCAGATTGAGGGGGCTAAACCGGCGTGGCACGGGCTAGAGAAAAGATGGAGTGATGTAGTAAAGGAGGATGAGGAGCTGAGTGGACTTGCCGATGACTGGTACCAGCAGGTGTCAAAATAGGCCTCTGTGGAGGAGGCTCGTGAAGGACGCTACTGGGCAGTCCAACAACAACGGAGGGTGGAGAAGCGACGCTCACAACGAGCGGAGCGCCGGGTGGCTAAAGCACAGCAAGTTGGCACAGTAGGGGGCACAGGTGGTGCATCAGCCAGTCATCTCAGTCAGTCGACCCGTGGCACCTGGGTCTGCCCCGTGACCTCCTGCCAGCCGGCGATCGACACTTCACGTGGCCTCAAGGTGTACATAGCCTGGCACAAGCGTCGTGGTGACATCACCGCCACTTAGTGGCGAATGGCGGTTGTTGTTGTGTCTGTAGGGAGGTGTTGTCTTTGTGAGGTGTTGTGTCTCTGTGGGGAGGTGCTGTGTCTCTGTGGGGAGGTGCTGTGTTTCTGTGGAGGTGCTGTGTCTGTGGGGGTGTGCTATGAAAAATTTAGCATAGCGTGTTATTACGAGTGCTATGGCTTGAAGTTTCAGAAACGCATTGCTAAATCGGAAATGTGCGTGATCATATTCTCCGACGCCTGTTACATATTTGGAGTTTGCATGTCTCCCTCTCTCCCTATGGTCGTGGATTTTTCTCCAGGTCCTCCGGTTTTTCCCTCCTCATTTCGAACCAACGTGCATTCAAGGGTATTTGGCTGCTGCTAGAAATTTCCACATGAGGCTGAGCCACTTCGTTGAGCTATCACTTATGATGCCAGGTCGCTTCTAAAAAAAGAGCTGTATAGTAGCTCAGTGGGGCCTTACTTTGTAAAATAAAAAATTGTTTAAATAGTTTTTAAATTTCAAAGTCAGGGGAATGTCTTATTATGCGGTAGCTGCATGTTTGAGAGAGGCCAGATGTGCGTCTCACTTTTTCGGAGTGCCCTACCATCCAGAGAACACGGCAATGGGCGTGCACACGACATCACTACAACACTCGCGGAGCATATCTTCAGAAGTAACCAAGTCAAAGGTGCTATAAGCTGAACATTTTTTCCCTTTATTTCATCAATAAAAAAGGGGGCATATTTTACAGTGAACATTTTTCCCCAATGTCCCCCACATCATGTGCAACGTTTGGTCAGGTTCGCAGCGCTGGCGACGGAAAAACGATATTCCCCTACTGTAGAGGCATGCTTGTGTATTAGACACAAAGATCTCCCCCGTATAGCCTCAGACTTTTGGTGCAAGTGCTGTTAAACGAGCAACGACAAAGGGTCGGCAGTGTGGCACACGAGGGGGGTGGGGAGGCCAGCACCACGCCCCGGCCACCTTTGTCTCCCCCAGTGGCGATGTTTACTACACACCACCTCACCGGGTACTCATTTGAGGCCGAGTCGACCTAGGGGGAAAGTCCCAGGACCGACTAAGATATTCGTCACCAATGTTGTGGCCGCGGGGGAAAAACGAACTGGGATGGCCGGGGTTCGTTAGCACAGCGTGGCGCTGACTGGTTGTGCCCAACCGGCTCCCCACACGCGACACACAAGCATACACGTTCACACATTTACACATTCGTACGTCGCATTCGTGAACACAATCGATAACATTCTCACGGTAGTCGGTTTTTTGTTTGGGTTAGAGCGCATAATTATAAAATGCGTTTACCTAGGGGAGTCCCAGCTCGACACGATCTAACACACAAAAAAGTCTTATGAATAATATTGGTCGCAAAAGCCTCCTGTGTGTTAAAAACTAGCATTCTCACAAGCACCTCATCTCACCAAGGGGAGGGGGGAAGGGGATATTTTCAACTGAAGCAGGAACGCAAGGAACGTCACGCGATAATACGAGGAACGACTCACAAAAGTGCTTAGTTCAAAACTCCCACTGCAACACATGCCCGCGCGCCCCTCTCCCCTGTCAGACGCAGAAGTGCATGCAGACGGCTCGCGCGAATCTGCGGTGCACCGGATAAACGGTTCAACCCAGGAGGCTGCTTAGTACCTAGGTATGCAAGTATGTGGAACTACTTTCGCACTGTACGTAGCCAACAAAGCCGTTATTTTTATGGAACCTTTGATCGTGCGTGCAACTCCATTGCGATTAAGACGAGTAAAGGAGCATCAAGCATCATCATAGGAGCTCCGCTCATCCTCGGAGCAGCAGCGGCTTTTGGTTGGCGATCAAACAAAGACGGTCACCGCATCATGCACATATCGTATGGGCTTCCGCGGCCGATATTAGGAAGCCACTAGAATTGCAAACTCATTTTATTTAGAACTTCTTACCTCCGATTAGCACAGGTTGGCTAAGTACAGTGTCAAAGTAAAAAATACATACATACGTGTTTGACGGAAACAAAATATGCGTTGTGAATGACGACATTTTTGTGAATTGAGCAGAATAACCGCTGGCAGCGGCAGGCAAATGGAGAAATTAGAATTCTGCAAATCTTAAGTGGTGCAGATGCAAAGCATTCCAAAAAGAATAAACTTTAGCCAAGCACTGTGCTGTTACGAGCGATTGGAAACACTACATTGGGGCAAATATTTATTTTATACATTTAAAAAAATAATCATCATTGTAAGAATATAAATTTACTCCATTTAAGAGTACGATCCTACAATACACCAACTCGTTTAGAAAATGTTATCTTGAAAAAATAACGACCTAATTCCACGCGGTGAATATCCATCAAGTCCTTGAAACAGCACGTCGCTTTTGCCGATGGCATATATCCTTGGGAGCGCGTGCCGATACGCCTTGAACCGCGCCACATGGCCACTGCAGGGCAAAGCGATGACCCCACACCACAAGCCCTAACGAGGATTATTCACACATGCGGTGCCACGCTCACGGATATTTATACATTTCTTTATAAACGGGTAACAACCGAATCGTATCCAATCACAAATTCCAACAAGTTCTGACCGTGTAGCACCGCAGAACAGAGGACGCCCGACGAACTTGCAACAACGGCCCCTCTCGGCGGCTCGATCTAGCGGACGCGACGACCGCAGGCAGAGCCTCCAGAGGTGAGCACCGTTGCTTCCGTGGGCGAGCGGGCCGATCGATGCAAGGGCACCCGCGCACGTTTTGTAAATTGTGAGGGCCCGCTATCCCTGCTCATTCCCACGAGGATGGCGTCATCGCACGGCCGCCCGCGCCCACACACACACCTCCACTTCCATGCCGTGCTGCTGATGAGTTCTAAACGCAAGCCGAACGGACACCCAGGACGTGTGGAAAGTCATCGGGGGCATGGGAACATCTCACCTCCTCCGTTACATACCTCGGAAACCCCCCCCTGCCCTTCACCCGTCGTCCTCCCCTGGCCCGAGGGAAAACCGTGGATTAGTACTTGATGGCCTTGGCCAGCCGATCCCAGAACCACTCCTTTGTGCTGAGCTTGGTGTAGTCAGACATGGTGATGTGACGCAGAATTCCTGGGTAGGTCTTGGAAATCGCCTTGTACTTGACGGGAATGAGGCGCCGGCTTCGAGCGCCTGCGGAGGGGAAAAAAAAAACGGGCGAATTTCGTGAGCCGCGAGAAGATGGAAGTCTCCACTCTGGGAGAGTTGTATTTTAATTGTGCAGTAATGTTGCGTGAACCCTCGTCATTCTTCTGCACCCTCCCGGTTCCTCCACCTCCCCCCCCCCATTTGCTTCTCAGCAGGGCTAGAATATCGCCGCTCGTCACGACACTGGGTTGTGGTTTAGACAAATTTCAGCACCAGCGGCCACCGATAATCACAAGAAGCGAACCGACTGCGAGACACCAACAGATGACTCGAGGTATGCCCAGCCTTACATTCAGAAGAGCATGGGTACACCCGTTTCATTCTGTCCATTACGACCACAGAGCGTGCTAGACAGTATGAAAGAGTCTCGAGGCCTTGACAAAACAAGCGATGGCGGATTAGCGTTCAAAAGCAATTGGAGCCGTCAACTAACCCGTTACCAGTGTTCCATCATCATCATCATCGTGCAATGCAATGTCCACATCACTGAACTCACCTGGAGCGATGCTGAGTGCAAGCTTGGTCTGGAAGTCGCACTCGCTGCTCTCAAGGAAATCATCCGAGATGATCACGACAATTTTGTTGCACCTGCAAGCAAGAGAGAGGAGCAACAGCAGCGGCAACGCCGACATTTAACATTACGAGCTTTCGATCCCCTGTGCCACTGGAGTGAACTAGAGGGAGGGGGGGGCATCGTAAGACCCGATAAAAACTAAAAACTTTTTTTTTACTAAACTATTTTTATTTGACCAGGTAAGGCCTGGCCACAAATGATAGTTCAAACGAAGCGGGCTTTGAGATCACATGGAAATTTAAAGCGGCCAAATACTCGAAACGCGTGATGTAAAATGTGGAGGAGAAAAAACGGAGGACTCGGAGAAAAATCCACGCGACCACAGGGAAAGAGAGACACAAACTCCAAATATACAGCAGGCGTCAGGATCGGGTCCGAACCCACAATCTCCTGCATACCGAGTGAAGTAGTTAACATATCCTAGAAACTGCAGGGGGAAGACGCTGCCTTGCGCTGGCGTTACAAACCACCACTACCCAGCCGTGGCGTTGCCCTCCCATCGCCTTGAACGCTTGGAGTAGATTGTGCGCGATCCGAGCTGAACTCTGCCACTGATCATTTTCCTGCTGCGTCATAAAACAAAACCCATGTGGACAGGTGGCTTTGCGCCAGTCAGCGGTGCCGAGATATTAACTCCCTCGTCTGGTATATAGGAGGTTGTGGGTTCCTGACCCTGACACCTGCTGTATATTTGGAGTTTGCATATTCTCTTTTTTGTCTGGGTCGTCCGGATTTTCCCTCCACATTTAGAATCAACATCATGCGTTTTAAGAGTATTTTTCCTGTTAGAAATTTCCACACGATGATAAGCCACTTCGTTGAGCTATAATTTGTGATGGCCAGGTCGCTTTTGAAAAAGAGCTACATAGCTGCTCAGTGGGCCTTACCTGGTACAATAAAAAAATATGTTTCGTTTATATGTTATAGCGTGCGTGGCCGTGGGGGGGACAGCGGAGTGAAACGCATGTCCAGTATGGGAGACACCGGCCGGCATCGTGGGGAAAATTTACCGATTCACCGTCTCACCCTCCCTAATGCCAACATACTGATGGTGTTGGGGGGGGGGGGGTCACTTGTGAAGTCTTCCCCACACGTCTCCATGTATAGCTGGCGGGGGAGGGGTGCAGCAGAAGTGTCTACTACTAGCAGTACTATTACTAGGACCATATTTTCCCGCATATAACCCGCGGGGTATACCACTTTTTCCAAACAAAACAAGCCACTGCGGGGTATATGGAGGTGCGGGCTTTCCGAAAAACATTTTACATGTGTGACATGTCATAACTCGTAGGACTATCCACTATGCAACACTTACATTTGACTAAAGCACTGCAGAATAAACCACTCACACTAAAATTGCACATGTTATCACGTTTTAAATTATTCGAATTGTTTGTACAATGAAACGACAATGTTTGAAGTGGGCGCACTTTGTTTACCGTAATACTTTCCGTGGCTGTAGAGCGGTGCGAAAGTTTCAGCTGAGGCTATGGATTGCACAATGGGAAGGGCCTTAACAAGCGTCTACCAGATGCGGAATCATAATTGCCGAGTCCCTTAGGCTGCTGCTATTGGCCGAGCACTATACAGTCGCGACTATGAGCTTTGTTTCAAACTTCCAATGGCTTTGTTGCTAGGAGGCAATGGCGTTACCGTAGTGCCGCTATTGTCTGCGCAGTGCGCAATCTACCAGTGCTAAAACTGTACAGGGGTAAGTACCGGTCCAGTAGCTGTAATATTATGAGGTCGAATGCTGGTTAGCCTAACAGTACGCTTACTTACTTGTCCACCAGTTGTGTTACCTATTTATTGGATATTTACTTTTGTTACTTATTTACTGTTTTAAGTTCACTCGTTTCCAGTTAGTTTGTTTTCTTTGTGCACGTTATGATTTAATGTTAACAATTCATAGTATTAAAAATGCAAACTTTTTTATTAATGAGGGAATTAAGCTGCGGTAACGACGTTAAAGATATGAATGCATGCAGGGTATATGGAGGTGCGGGCTATCTGAAATTTATTTTACACAAAACGCTATTTTTGCGGGGTATATCCATCTGTGGGTTATATGCGGGAAAATAAGGTAGTAGGTAAGACTTCTAGTAGTAGGTACTCTACCATACTATGATCCACCATCCCAGTAGTAGTACTTGTACCTACTAGTAATACTACTATGACTAATAGGAGTTACTGTGCCACGTCATGATCCACCATCTCATCTTTTGTAGTAGGTACTGCTACTACTAGCATCGTCCGTACTACAAGTAGTAGCACCTGCCATCTCACCTCTTTTCTTCGATTCAAGTACTTAAAATTGACATTCTGGTTTTCAGGAAGCAAGCCTGGGCGTGAACCAGGCTGTGCCTGCATGAAATGATTGCACTGAAGCTGTAGCCATGTGATTTGGCAGCTGTGTGTATGTTGAACTCCTTTTGCACAGTACATAGCCAACCATGCTAAGAGGAGGTACAGGGGAAGCACAAACTAACCAACAAAAATCAGTAAAAAAAATAGTTTTCAATCTAGATGATGATTTAAAAGTGCATAGCTCCGGGGAATTTCTAATATTGGAAGGGAGAGCATTCCAGATGGCCGCAGAAGTGCATCTGAAAGCACGCGATGAAGTGACCACCGTCTTTGTTCGATGGCTAGCCAAAAGCAGCTGCTGCTGCTGCCGCAGCGAGTATGACCGGAGTTCGTGTGATGGTTTATGCTCCTTGACAAGATGAGTAGCAAGGTATCTTGGTTCATTGGTGGTGTGTACAATGAGCGTGACATTACAACATATTCGTTCGGCAACCGGAAGCCAACGCAGCTCAGCAAGCACGAGGACGGACACGACACGTAGCCAGAGAAGTCTGTAAACGCTGCTGAGAGAGCAAGCGAGCGAGCAAGCGAGGAGCAAAGGGTACCGGTTCTCGATGAGTTCGCTGGAAATGGTGTAGACACACTGGCCCGGCAGCACGTCGCGGTCCATCACGCACAGCTTGAGGGAGTAAGAGCTGCGCTCCAGGTTTTGAATCATCTCCTTGACGAAATCGATGTCGGCGTAGCAGTAGCAGACGAAGGCATCGAACTTCTCCACGTACACTGAAGGCACAGAGGGCGGTGAGGCGTTGTGTCATTTGTTTTCTCATACCGGCCGGATGCTGACACCGATGCTCACAGTTGTGTGTGTATGTATGTTGATCTTTTTTCGCACGGTACGTAGCCAACCGTACTAATTGTAGGTGTATATTTACATAAAAATCCCAACTCCTGAATAAGCCACAGAGAAACTCCACTCTGATTCGATGAGGGGGAGCTCAGTAAGGGGGGGATCTATAAGCCGTGTGTATCTAGATAAAAATACTCCTCCTTTTGTCTCGCCCAGTAACAAAAAAAAACGGTAAACAGAGACGAGAGTTTGCTCCCCCTGGCTCACTCATCAGCTCCGAGGTGTAAGCAGAATGAGAGGGGTGCGCTTCCGTGAGACCACGGGGCCAAAAGCTGTGTGGGAAGTTTGCAACGAACAAATCAGGTGGCGAAGCATGGCATGGCCTGGTGCCCCACATATAGTTCCCGAACGGAACGTTCCGAACGGGAACCGACGCGGACGTCGGCGCGAGTTCCGAACGGGAACTACATGTAAAATGTACATGGATCAGAGGAGCTGCATAGCATCGCCATCTATCTCTCCACGAAAGAGCAGTTTTCAGTTTCATTTATTTGGTATAGCCCTGTGAGCCATTCGGCTCTTGAATCAGGTGCAACTGCAACAAACAAAAACATGAACAAGAAACATCTTAAAGTGACGACGCGCAAACAGAAAAATCCAGGAAAAAACAGCAAAGTCTTCCAGAAAAAGCACCGTATATCAATGCTGTGTGCAAAAATCCCAGTGGGATGCAAGTCAAACAATAACAACCATAAGACAATTTAGATTAAAGTTATCAGTCTAACTCTGTACTACAATATGGCTAAACCAAAACGTTTTCGAAATCACCAAAATAAAGCTATAAAAGCAATGTAACAGTGATCATAGGAACTGTGATTGAAATTTATAATTAACGATATACATAACATGTACTACCAAACTTTGCAGCCATAGCTGGCAGCATGAGTCACTCCATCAATGCACCTTCAAGATCAGCACACTATAATCAAAACACAAGATCATACTTTGCAGCGGTCATCCGGAGCGAAACATTTGATTTCAGGCCACTGAATAGCAGTGGCAGCTAGGGGTGTACAACCCCTCTAGAACAGTTTTGAGTGAAGATCTCATAGGTAGAGATTCAAGTTGCAGTTAATTGGCAATAGCATTCCAGACCCTGGGGGCATCAATAGCAAACGCCCTTCCTCCAGTATTTGTAAAGCAAAAAGGAATGTTAAGCTGGTAAATGAGCGAAGACCTTAGGTCACATTTGTTCTTCGAAACAAAGAGGAGATCCAGCAGGTAGTCTGCGGATTTTTTTGTAAGTACATCGTGAATAAATAGATTTGATGCACAAGCCGTCGAACATTAAGAGATGTTAAGTTTGACCCAATGCAGAGATCACAGTGGTGGGTTCTATATGGGCAGTTCAATGCAAATCTTAAGGCCGAGTGATAAATTGAGTCACACTTCTTCACTACAGTACTGGGGGCTTATTTATATACGATGTCACAGTAATCAAGTAGATGCAGTATGGTAGCTTTTATCAATTCCAAACGGAACATAGCGGCGAAGCAGTGCTTGTATCGATAGAGAAAACAAATGTTTATTTTTGTCTTTTTACCAATATAATCAATGTGATCTTCAAAATTCAGTTTTGAATCAAGGATGACCCCAAGATACTTATAGATCTTGACTTGCTCTATTTGATAATTATTTAAGGAATGTAATTGGGGGAAAATAACTTCCTGCTTTAGTCCTGGTGAGAAGCATAGCACCTTGGTTTTGGAGGTATTCAGGACTAGTTTAAGAGCAACTAGCTGATGTTGTAGTTTGTTGAAATGGCCCTGGAGCTTAGCAATCACGTCATCCGGAGAGCAGCCAGTAGTAATCAGTATCGTGTCATCTGCAAAAAGATTTACCCTGGAATGATCCAGGTCAGTGCCCAAGTCATTTATATAAAGAGAGAACAAGAGGGGGCCGAGGATGTAACCCTGTAGAACCCCTTTTGTTATCTTAATACTGTTTGACCTCCAACAATCTGTGAATACAGTTTGGGTGTGAGAAGAGAGGTAATTTTTTAACCATTCTACTGCGTGTTTGGAGAAACGGAGGCAACTTAGTTTACTAAGCAAGGTTTTGTGGTCGACTGTATCAAAGGCTCAAGAAAAAGACCGGCGCAGTACTGCTTATTATCAAGGCTACTGTAAATGTGATTCAGAGAGTCTAATGCAGCAGATGTGGTGCTGTATTTTTTTCGGAACCCAGATTGTTTTCGATGTAATAGATTGTTGTCGGACAGGAAACTGCTAATTTGAGAGTTCAATAATTTTTCAAAAAATTTCATCAATGGGGACAAAATTGAGATAGGTCGGTAGCTATTTGGATCATCTTTAGGGCCCCCTTTGTGAAGTGGACGAACATAGGAATGTTTCCATTCTAGACGTACTGATGCTTCTTTGATGGACAGGTTGAAAATATGGGCTATAGGTTTGTATATTAGGTGACCAACAGTTAGCAGAGCAAAGACGGGAATACTATCTGCTCTGGTAGAGGAGGACCCTTTGAGGTAGGACAGTTGTTTCAGAACATTACTTTCGTGGATTGGCTGGAAACTAAATTCGTTTAATGTTTGGACAGGGGTGTAGGAATTTGCATGTGCAGGGGTGACTCCCAAAACATTATCAAAAAGGTCACTAGCTTCAGAAAAATGAAGGTTAAAATTGTCAACTATTTTTTGGGGCTTTTAAAAATATTCCCCATTTCGGTTAAGCTCAATGGGCAGATTATCTGTTTCGGATGCCTTTTTGATACATTTTATTGTTTTCTAGAAGATCCTGGAATTTCCATGTGATTCCAGGAGAGTGGAGGAAAAGTAAGCATTTTTTGCATGCCGTATTTTTTTGATGCATTTTATTGTTTTCTAGAAGATCCTGGAATTTCCATGTGATTCCAGGAGAGTGGAGGAAAAGTAAGCATTTTTTGCATGCCGTATTTTTTTGATGCATCTATTCCTTAAAATCCTGTATTCTAGCTAGTCATTGACGAAATTACTTTCCTCAGCACATGCCTATGCCTTGTCCCTAGTTTTCATGGTGAGCGGTTGCCTTTAGTTTTAAATCTAACCAACAGAGCATGTTTGTTAAGAATTTGGAGAAACGTGTACCTGAAGGTCTCCCACGCCATAGTCAGGTAGGAGATATCACAGACCTTGTCAATATCCGAGTGAAGTATATCATTAGTAAATGCCTGAATGCTGAAGTGTCTCATGTAGTGCTTCTCAACCAATTTAGGGGGGCTTTGGGTCTGGCTATGATCTCACCCCAAATATGAAGGAGTGATCACTAAGGTTATTACCCAGAACACCAGTCAGTGCGAAATTGTGAGGGACATTTGTCAATAGGACGTCAAGCAGAGATGACTGTCCCGGATTTTTTAGGTTGGGTCTTGAGGCGACATTTATTAATTGAAATAGGTTAAATTTATCTGCAAAATTTGTGACCACGGTCGGCGGGTTTAGCCAATTCCAATTTAGATCACCCACTAAAACTATTTCACCTTTAGGGAGGTCCCCAAGAAGCTCTCTCAGTGCAGACGCAGCTTCAACATCCTTAGCACTAGGCGGTCTATAGCAGCACACTACCAATATCTGTTGATTATTTGGGACAGGTATTTTCTGTGAAAGGATGAAGAGCGGCGAACCTTGGACGAATAACAGCAGCTCACAGATGGTGATATTTTTTAGAGCAGAATGAAGGTTGGAAGGAGTGCTGGTAAAGTAATGGGACAAAGATAGGGTTCAAAAGGATACAAAGACGAAGTGTAGAAGTGTCTATAAGCTATTTCATTAGCAGGTGTAGTGGCAAATTGAGCAACAAGTATGGACGCGAAGTAACGAGTGTAGTCGTTTGTAGAGTTGAGTGTGGCACTAGATATGGCCGGGAGGGACAGCAGAAGGATACACAGCAGGAGAATTGCCATCTTTCAAATATCACGGGTACACAATGTTTAACAAACAAGCGAAAAAAAATATACTTATAGGCCGAGCGCGAGAAACGTCTTGCCGCACTCGTCACACATGCACGGCTTCTCACCCGTGTGCTAGAGTTTTTGGAGATGAGCACCGCCCTCAATGTGACATCAGAGCAAGAGATCACTATTGGTCACAGCATTGGAGGTGCCGCGGACGCAGCAACTGGTCGGGTTAAGCAGCAAGATGTTAACGCCCTCGCCTAGTACGCAGGAGGTCGTGGGTTTGATCTCAACCCTGACGCCTGCTGTATATTTCGAGTTTGCTTGTCTTTCCCCGTGGTAGTGTGGCTTTTTCTCCGGGTCCTCCGATTTTTCCCTCCACATTTTGAATCGACATCAAGCACTATCGAGTATTTGGCTGATATAAATTTCAATACGATGATAAGTCACTTTATTGGGCTATGTTATGTGCCAGGTCGCTCCTGAAAAAGAGCTCGAGCTCAGTGGGTTTTACCTGGTAAAATAAAATAAATAGTTTAGTTTTAGTTTAGCACACACTGCAGTGATGGGACCATCACAACACTGACCTTCCGGAACGTCGCGCATCGTCACACAGTCAGGAGGCTCAAAGGGCCCCGGTTCCGAGCGGGGAGGAGGATGACCACTCTTCTTCTCCGCAAGGAAACGCACGCAGTCCTGTTCTGTGAATGTGGACACACATAAAATATTAATATCTCCAGTAGAGCCTCTAGCGGCATTGGGACAAAGGCTATTGGCAAGCACCTACAACAACAAAGATCCTCCACATAGCCTTAACAGACTTGCGGACATTGCTGTTAACGAGTAGCACCTATGAAGGCTGGCACGGTACACGAGGGGGTGGGTGGCCAAAACCACGCCCGGCCGCCCTTGTCTCCCTTGTGCCGATGTTTACTACACACTGCGCCAGGTACTCATTTGAGGCAAGCACCTACATGCACTCGCACAAACACACAACACGCACCCTTCCACATACACGTTTTTGAGATTTTTGGGGGGAACCAACAATTGATCATTCTGGCCTTGAGACGGTGAAAATGAGAAAGGAGCTCATGGAACAATAACTGCGTGAGTACACCACTGATCCAACAGGCACCACCGAAAAATCCTGGGTTAGAATTCTGGAGGATTGTCTGAGACAACGCCTGGCTGAGCGACTCAGTGCAGCCCCGAACTGTGAGAGCAGAGCGAGAGTCGGGAAGCAAATCGAGCCGCTGCGCAGCATCAGATGGCCACCATGGTGGCGAGGAGATGTTAACTACCTCGCCTGGTATACAGGAGGCGTGGGTTCGATCCCAACCCTGACGCCTGCTGTATATTTGGAATTTGCTTGTTACTCTCTGTCTCTCCCTCCCTGTGTCTCTCCCTCCCTGTGTCTCTCCCTCCCTGTGTCTCTCCCTCCCTGTGTCTCTCCCTCCCTGTGTCTCTCCCTCCCTGTGTCTCTCCCTCCCTGTGTCTCTCCCTCCCTGTGTCTCTCCCTCCCTGTGTCTCTCCCTCCCTGTGTCTCTCCCTCCCTGTGTCTCTCCCTCCCTGTGTCTCTCCCTCCCTGTGTCTCTCCCTCCCTGTGTCTCTCCCTCCCTGTGTCTCTCCCTCCCTGTGTCTCTCCCTCCCTGTGTCTCTCTCTCCCTGTGTCTCTCCCTCCCTGTGTCTCTCCCTCCCTGTGTCTCTCCCTCCCTGTGTCTCTCCCTCCCTGTGTCTCTCCCTCCCTGTGTCTCTCCCTCCCTGTGTCTCTCCCTCCCTGTGTCTCTCCCTCCCTGTGTCTCTCCCTCCCTGTGTCTCTCCCTCCCTGTGTCTCTCCCTCCCTGTGTCTCTCCCTCCCTCCCTGTGTCTCTCCCTCCCTCCCTGTGTCTCTCCCTCCCTCTCTGTGTCTCTCCCTCCCTCCCTGTGTCTCTCCCTCCCTCATTGTGTGTCTCTCCCTCTCTCCCTGTGTCTCTCCCTCCCTCCCTGTCTCTCCCTCCTTCCCTGTCTCTCCCTACTTCCCTGTGTCTCTCCCTCCCTCCCTGTGTCTCTCCCTCCCTCCCTGTGTCTCTCCCTCCCTCCCTGTGTCTCTCCCTCCCTCCCTGTGTCTCTCCCTCCCTCCCTGTGTCTCTCCCTCCCTCCCTGTCTCTCTCCCTCCCTCCCTGTGTCTCTCCCTCCCTCCCTGTGTCTCTCCCTCCCTCCCTGTGTCTCTCCCTCCCTCCCTGTGTCTCTCCCTCCCTCCCTCCCTGTGTCTCTCCCTCCCTCCCTGTGTCTCTCCCTCCCTCCCTGTGTTTCTCCCTTCCTCCCTGTGTTTCTCCCTTCCTCCCTGTGTCTCTCCCTCCCTCCCTGTGTCTCTCCCTCCCTCCCTGTGTCTCTCCCTCCCTCCCTCCCTGTGTCTCTCCCTCCCTCCCTGTGTCTCTCCCTCCCTGTGTCTCTCCCTCCCTCCCTGTGTTTCTCCCTTCCTCCCTGTGTCTCTCCCTCCCTCCCTGTGTCTCTCACTCCCTCCCTGTGTCTCTCACTCCCTCCCTCCCTGTGTCTCTCACTCCCTCCCTGTGTCTCTCCCTCCCTCCCTCCCTGTGTCTCTCCCTCCCTGTGTCTCTCCCTCCCTGTGTCTCTCCCTCCCTGTGTCTCTCCCTCCCTGTGTCTCTCCCTCCCTGTGCCTTTGAGTTTGCATGTTCTCTCTCCCTGTGGTTGCGTGGATTTTTCTCCAGGGATCCTCCATTTTTTTCCCTCCACGTTTACAAACATGCCTTTAGGAGTATTTCGCCGCTTATAAATTTCCACACAACGATAATCCACTTCGATGAGCTGTTATTTGCGATGGCCAGGTCGACTTCTGAACAACAAGAGCTACTTAGCAGCTCTGTGGGGCCTTACACCTGGTATAAGACATTTTTTTATTTTAGTTAACCGAGGAAATCACCGATGGCCGCCTGCAGGTCGGTGATGACATCATGGCGCTCCAGCTTGAGCAGCGCGTCCAGCAGGGCGCCGACAGTGCTGTTGTTACGGGACGTGCATTCGTCCAGCAGTTTCCAAGTCGGGTCGGGACAGCGGTCCATGTTCCTGATGTGCAGGTAGTCGAAGCCCAACTCCTCGGCCAGGCGCTCCCAGTTAGCGCTGCCCAGCAGCACGGGGTTGAGGAAGAGCGCCAGCTGCTTGCGCACCGTCGTGTTGAGGGCCCGCAGGGGCACCTCGTGAAAGTTAACGGCGCTGGTGCGTGGCTTAGTGCACGCCATGGTGTTCCCGGGACCTCCGCCCTCTTTCAGTTCGACAGGTGTCGGACTGCAGAGTGAGGGGGGAAAGTTGGTGAGCCACTGGGAGCAGACGCACGCAGCACACGGTACACCACAAAGACAAAGGTTCCCCCCACCCCTTAAGAGACTATTGGAGGCACAAGTGCTGTTGGCGAGTAGCACCTATGAAGACCAGCACGGCACACAAAGGGTTGGGAGGCCGGCTACACGCCCGACCGCTTTTGTCTCCCCAGTGGCGATATTTACTACACACCGCACCGGGTACTCATTTGAGGCTGAGTTCGACCTCGGAGAGGCCCAGTACCAGTTCGGATAATCGTCACTGGTGTTGGCCATGAGCGAGAGTTGAAACCGGGTCGCCGGCTTCGTAGCGCGGTATGCTGACCGCGACACCACCGCTCCCCAGCACACGACGCACACACATAGGCATGCACATATGTGTACGTACAACACACACATACACAACTTAAAAACTGGGATTATAAATCTCTTATTGGCTGGGCGCACCAAATGCACAAAACGCCGATTATTGCCACAAGCTGCAAGTGGCCGACACCTCAGCTAACCAATCACAGGGAAACTACTTTCTAAAATATTGAGGCTTCAAAGTGCGATCAAAACTATTTAAAAACTAAACAATGTTTTATTTTACCAGATAAGGCCCACTGAGCTATGTAGCTACTTTTCAGAAGCGATCTGGCCATCACAAATGAAAGCTCAACGAAATGGCTTATCCCGAGGAAATTTATAGCAGCCAAATACTGTAAACGGGCGTTGATCCTGAATGCGGACGGAAAAAAAATGGAGGACCCGGAGAAATAGCCACGTGACCACAAGGAGAAAGAACATGCAAACTCCAAATATACAGCAGGCATTGTCAGGGTCAGGATCGAACCCACGACCTCCTGTATACCAAGCGAGGTAGTTAACATCTTCTAGCTAACATGGCAACCTGAATAGGGGTCAACCTCACCACCTTGTCCCATGAGGCGATACTGGGGCTGAGGGGGTTCTCCCTACCCGTATAACTCATAGCAATGCTCAGCAGGTCAGTACGATCCCAACTTGGGGGATCAGAGTTCAAATTGGCACCCGTAAAATTCTTCATCATAGAGGGTCTTTTTTCAGGTTATATTGCGCAAATATAAAGGTCCTTAAACCCGCCACCATCCGACATCCAATTCATAAGGTTTTGTCACGTAAACAAAACATGCCAATTAGTTACTAGTTCAGCACACCGGTTGTGTGTTGAAGTGAACCCACATTTTACATTTGAGTACCGTGACGTTTCGCCGGTAATTACATCCAGCCTCATCAGGCGACAGCCAGAGTTGTTGAGAGAACCTCCTCCAGTTTCGGTCTTAAATACTGGGATAAATGTGATGATGTCACTTCTGAGCCAATCAGGTGTGAAGACCAGAGGGGGGGTTAATGAAGTCATGTAAATTACAATGGATATCTATGATTGGTTTGGTTATTCAGTTCATAAACATATGTAATGTACATCACGCATGCACATTATGTATGTTATGTATGTACATCCTGCCGTTTATTTGGTGCAAAAGTCACAATACCTGTTATTGGCAATCTAACCAAAAATATATATAATGAATAATATTGGTCACGTGTTACACTTAACATTCTTATTTTCAACTTTCCACAAGGCAATTATGAGGTTATGCTCCTGTACGTTTGAAATGGGTTCTTGAGTGTGTGCCTACCACCACCGTGTACAAAAATTGTCAGGTACACCTTGCAGATGACAAGCCAATGGTCAGTGGACATACCAGTGCCAAAACTAGGTCCTGGTATCAATGACATGGGCCTGCGGATTTGCTGCTCCATCACCGGATTAGTCCAGCAGATGTTCTTGCTTAGATCCAGCATGCACCCATGTTGTGCTTTCGCACCTCCGATTAGTATGGTGCAGAAGAAGTAAAAAAATACACACATACACCGCACCTCCGATTAGCACGGTTGGCTACGTACAGTGCGAGAAAGAAGTTCAACAGGCATACGTCACTGACAGAACAGCGTTTTGGTGATTATTATAGCCCATGGAGGTGCAAAGACAACTAACAGCATCCTACCAAAGCTGCGGAGCTGATCTGGCCCACTTTGCCATCCAAGCACTGGCCTTCATCCAAGCACTGGCCTTCATCCAAACAGGCATTTTAAGTCACTCAAGAAGAGGACTTTGGTGGTCGGAGCCAGTTTATCCAACACATGAGACAGGTCACAGAAGAAATCCGACGCGTCAGCATTGCCTGCATCCCTCCACAGATGGTGTTGGTGTTAAACCACACCTCACTGCCATGCTTCCAAATCCTATGCATTATTGGATTTAGAAGAGCCACTCGATTTTTAACTCTATGCCATCGAGTAGTGCATTGCCCAACCTGTTGTATCTGGAGTCTGTCAAGATGGCGGTCAAAGACAAATGATCCCCCGTATAGCCTTTAATAAACTGTTGGGCAAGTGCTGTTGGCGAGTGGCACCTATGAAGGCCGGCACGGCACGCGAAGGGGGTGGCCAACGCCACGCCCGGCCGCCTTTGTCTTCCCAAGTGGCGATGTTTACTACACACCGCACCGGGTACGCATTTGTGGCTGAATTCTAGGGGAGGCCTTGTACCAGTTCAGATAATCGTCATTGGTGTTGGCCATGAGTGGGAATATAATTCGGGTTACCGTATGTTGAACTTCTTTCGCACCGTACGTAGCCAACCGTGCTGACAAAGGCACATATACACATTCAGTAACAAACGTATAAATATACACGCATTCACCTATTACAGTACAGTATATACGCAGGAAATCCTCCATCAGTATAAAAATATTGGATTTGGTCAATTTAATGTTTTGCGTGCACAAACGCTGACTTTAATCCACTGCGATTAGCACTGTTGGCTACGTACGGTGCGAAAGAACTTCAACATACTTACACTGTAACTAACTTACAAAGAATAAATCGCGCAGAATTACACACCCGAAGGCGAACACAGATTAACATGACAGACAAGTAGCACTCAGAAAAGTACAAATATCCCCGTACAGCCTTAGCTGTTAGCGAGATGCACCTATGAAGGACGGTACGACACACGCGGGGCGCGTGGCCAGCACCACGCCCAGCCGCCTTTCGTCTTCCCGAGTGGCGACGTTTCGCACACCGCACCAGCGACTCATTTGTGGCCGAGCCGACCTTGGGGAGGCCCCGGGCACCCGTCCGTCCACGCGCGCACCGCCAGCCGCCAGCCGCCAACACGGGCGGATCAGCACGGTAATGGCGCCTTGGGCCCTGCCGTTTGGACTATCGCCGGCCTAGTGGGTGGGCACCCATCACACCGTACCTGGGGGATAAATTACCTTAGTAAGGTGGGGGGGGGGGAGTGTTATCCCAGTAGAGGAGAGCCGGGGGAGCCCAGTGGGAGCCTGGTGGGAGCAGCAATGAGCCAAAGCTGCTTCCAACGCCGTCTGTCGCGATAGCTGCCTGGACCCGCGCCTCTTCCGGGGAGCTCCTGGCTCTGACGTCATATGCAAATAAGAATGGGGGGGGGGATTCCCCGCCTCCCCCGCGCGTGGTGAAGTATGGACACAAGCAGGGGCGGAGTCACAGGGGGGGCTGGGGGGGGCTTAGCCCCCCCTAAAATTTTGGAAAAGTCGGTAATCGGGATAATCGGATATCCGGCTGCTGTAAAATGCTGCTGGCTGCCACCTTGTGCTGCCCTGCAGGCTGCTTGAGCGGCAGCCTCTCGAACTTATCGAAATTATTAGCCACATCAGCTGCTCCAACCTATGCATAAACTCCGCGTTCAAATCCAATAAAAAATGTTTTGACATTTGTGGCGCCCATTGGAAAACATACACTGGATATCTCAGAATATTGAAGGCAGCCCCCCCAAAGTCAAAATCCTGGCTCCGCCCCTGGACACAAGTCCATAATAAAGTATTCTTTGGTTACTCTTCGGTTCTTTCGGTAAAGTCACGTAGATAGATTTGTTTTCTACGTGACTTTACCGAAAGAACCAAAGAACATTAATTCCTGCAGTCACGAAAGTTTTAGGTCAAAAGCCATAATAAAGGTTTCATTTAAAAAAAAATTGGGGGGGTTATTTTGGCCAATTTCATAAGGATTTTGTCACTCAAATAAAAGGTCCACAATTTGTGACTACTTCAGCAAACACACACACACACTGGTTGTGCGCGTGTGCGTGTGTGTTGGAGAGTAAAACCCACGCAGACGTTGACAATTCGAGTACCGGAGCGTGACGTTTCGCCGCTGGTGATTACAACCGGCGCCCGTGAGCCTTGCGCCTTCAAATGGACGCAAACGATGAGGGCTTTACGTCGCTTGGGGATTCCCTACAGGCAACGTCGTCAAAGGGTGGATGGGACTGCTGCATGAATCACAAACAGGCTGAGTCACTCGTCAAAGTACTCAAATGGTTAAATGGTGTGTGGATTTACTCTCTAACACACCGGTGTGCTGAAGTAGTAACTAAATGGCACGTTTTGTTTACGTGACAATACCTTTTCTAACTCGCCTTTTGCCCGTCCAAGGACGGGTGTATTGCAGTCAATTTGAAACTTGCAAGCGAAAATCAGGCCACGACATGATATTCATTGCATCAATGAGTGTGAAATTTGTAAGGGCGCGGTGACACAGACCTATTTCCCTTGTTAATCACGACGTCCTTTTTACTTTGATGTCTCCAAGGCGTTACGGAGATCGCGTGACGCGATGAGGGTTCTGCCTTTGTAGTGAGGGTTGTAAGTTGACGCCGAGGAGGGGGGAGGAGGCGCCTCGCCCCCCATGTGGTGTGACGTCACCCGCTAATTATTATGAATGGTGGGGGGGGTGTCCATTTGGAGGACGTCACCTGTTAATGATTATTAATGGAGGGGGGGGGGCTGTTCGAGGGGGGGTGACGTCACCTGCTCATGATTATTAATGAGTAGTGGGGGTGTGTCCGTTTGGAGGACGTCACCTGTGCATGAATATTAATGAAGGGGGTCTGGTCTATGTAGAAGGACGTCACGAGCGTTAAGGACAGACATTCCTGGGTGGTTGTAGTAGGCATTGGGCTGTGTCGGATGGTGGTGGGTTAACGACACATTTATATTTACGCGATCTAACCCAAAACAAACCTTTGTCTTGACTTAAAGCTTCCGTGACTGCAGGAATTCATATTCTTTGGGTCTTTCGGTAAAGTCACGAAGATAGGTTCAAAGAAAATAACAAAAAACTACGACGTTTCGATCGCAACACAAGCGCTTACATTTGTAGCGATGCTATTCTATTCTTGCTAAGGAGATAAATGCGAATGTCGAGGGTCTGCTGAGAGAGTTCGTGTTGTGTCGCCGTTCCCCATCTTCCGTTGAAGGAGCGCAGACTGCAGTGGCTTGCTATATGCATGTATATGTATGCTGAACTTCTTTCGCGTCCTACGTATATTATCGTGCTAATTCGAGGTGCGGGTGAAGGACAACAAACTAAACACAATAAGCAGTTCTAAAGAAATGCGTTTTAAATTTTGATTATTTAAGTGCATAGCTCCAGTGGCTTCCTAATATCAGAAGGAAGAGCGTTCCAGACGGCCGTGGAAGCGCACCTGATGATGCTGGTTGTAATTACCGGCGAAAACGTAACGGTACTGGAATGGTAAATGTTTTGTGTTTACTCTCCAACACACCGGTTAGTACTGAGCTAGCAACTAATAGGCACGTTTTGTTTACGTGACAAAACTTACTAATTGGGCTGTGTCAGGGTGGTGGTGGCGGGTTTTAACGTCACTTTTATATTCATGCTATGTACTCCAAAAACACTATGTGATGGATATTGCTCGCGAACGCCCTACTAAGGCTGCGTGTTCACGCGAGGGACGTTGTCGAGGCCTCGGTTGAATAGCGGATGGTCGTGGGCAAGACAACTCTGAATGTTATCCCGTTTATTTCAGATGTTGATTCCATTGGTTTCCATGCAACAGGTCTACCCATACTCTTTTTATATATTGTTATCGAAGAGGTGTGTATTCCTTAACAGCTGCTCATTTTAAAACTGTTAATAGGAAGAAAAAAATCTTACAATTTTTATTAACATCAGGGTCAGTGGTATAACGTGCGTCTCTAACTCACATCCACTCCCGTCTCTCTGACCTCTCCATCGTTTACGTTAGAAAGAAGAGTCGTTGCCCGAAACGTCGGCTGTAATATATTTGTATCTGTTAAAGCCACACTGCTCTTGACACGGAACGTGCTCGCTGCTTTTGCGTCACTGCCAATGCAGCAGTAGCAGCATGGGTCACTGCGTGTTGTATGTCGAGAGACTGAGTGGGAGAGTTGGTTGCAACCTTGAAACCACGGAACATTCGTGCTGGGTGCAACCACATTTGCAAATCAGATTTGTAACTTTGATTCTCGCCCATGTATCATCGATGGTTCAATTTTAATTTTCCATTGTATTGTGTTGTTGTCTTGGTGTGATCTGGGACTGTTGTAGTTTTTTCTGCCTTGCCCCAAGCTTGCATTTAGTGTGGGAAAAATATGCAGAAACGTATATACTTTAATATGCAATGTGTACTTCCAGTATATACAGTACTTAATTTATGTTGATTTCGAGTGACTTTGTTTAAAATGTAGGCTTTCGCGACCAATATCATCCATAATGTTTTTTTGGGGGTTAGATCGCATAAATATAAATGTGTCGTCAAACCCGCCACCATCCGATACAGCGAAATGTCGTACTCGGATTGTAAATGTTGTGGATTTGCGCTCCAACACACCGGTTAGTGCTGTACAAGTAACGAATTGGCATGTTCTATACTCTTTGTTTTTTTCGGTAAAGTCACGGAGGTAAAATAAAATAAAACAACTAAATTAAATCACGACGTTTCGAAGGCAACACAAGCTTCCGTCTTCAGGTGGAACAGTCACAGCAGAATATATGTGTCAAGTGGACAGCTCTGAGACAGCCGCGATTATATACAGGTTAAGGGGGGGGGGAGGAGCCAAGAAGGGACGTGGGTGGGGGGGAGGGCTGAGTTAAGGGGGGGGAGGAGCCAAGAAGGGACGTGGGTGGGGGGCTGAGTTAAGGGGGGTGGAGGAGCCAAGAAGGGACGTGGGTGGGGGGGGGCTGAGTTAAGGGGGGGGGGGAGGAGCCAAGAAGGGATGTGGGTGGGGGGGGCTGAGTTAAGCCGCCTTTTGTTATGCTGCAGGGGGTTCGGGGGAAGAGATGCACGGGTACATACAACCCACTGAGAGCAATGGCTGTACAATTATAAGGCAGCTAACGTTTGACTTGATTTATAACATCTTTCCAATGATTTTGATTTAAAGCTTTCGTGACTGCAGTAATTCATATTCTTAGTTTTTTCGGTAAAGTCACGTTGAAGAGAAACAACAAAATAATAAAATATATATAAAACAATAAAAAATTCTCACGACGTTTCGACCATAACTCAAACGGTCATCTTCAGGTGTGTTGGTTTGCATAAATTTATTTTTAAACGGCGCATTTATTTATTTATAAAAAACGTTAGCGTCACGCGCAGCGATTTGGCAGTTTGCCCAGGACTAGTCCATCTATATTTTAAAAAGAGGAGGGGGGAGACGAAATTTTTTACAATGTATGCTGTCTGAAAGCCACTGTAAGCGTGAACAATCAATTAAGAACTGAAATGGTTTATCAAATCTTTCCAATGATTGCTAAGATAGAATCCATCTTCTCGGTTGAAATTGTCTCTGTGCTTGTATATGTGGATAGCCTCATGAACGAATCTCTCATGGAAGCCAGATGGCTTACAAAGAACCTCTGTCTTGGAAAAGTCAATGGCATGTGAGCCTACTGAATTAGCAGATCATTGTTCTAATTCAGTAGGCTCACATGCCATTGACTTTTCCAAGACAGAGGTTCTTTGTAAGCCATCTGGCTTCTATGAGAGATTCGTTCATGAGGCTATCCACATATACAAGCACAGAGACAATTTCAACCGAGAAGATGGATTCTATCTTAGCAATCATTGGAAAGATTTGATAAACCATTTCAGTTCTTAATTGATTGTTCACGCTTACAGTGGCTTTCAGACAGCATACATTATAAAAAATTTCGTCTCCCTCCTCCTCTTTTCAAAATATAGATGGACTAGTCCTGGGCAAACTGCCAGATCGCTGCGCGTGACGCTAACGTTTTTTTATAAATAAATAAATGCGCCGTTTAAAAATTAATTTATGCAAACCAACACACCTGAAGATGACCGTTTGAGTTATGGTCGAAACGTCGTGAGAATTTTTTATTGTTTTATATATATTTTATTATTTTGTTGTTTCTCTTCAACGTGACTTTACCGAAAAAACTAATAATATGAATATATCTTTCCAATGGTTGCTCAATTTGAAAGCATCCTCTCGGTTCTGTTTACGTGACAAACCGTACTAATTGGCTGTGTCAGGTGGGGCGGGTTTAACGACACTTTGATATTCACGCGATCTTACCCCCCAAAAATGATGGATTATAGTGGCTTGCTCACCATTGTTGCACTCCTATCGTTATTTTCGCGTGTAATTATTTGTTGCCTGTAACGAGCCGGCCCCCGTGGACAAAAATGGTTAAGACTTCACCGATTCCGATTGATTACACGGTACGCAGTTTAAACGCGTAGTGCCACAATCGTAAGCCGGCTTCCGCGCGCTGCTATTACGAAGCGCGCTTTGCGGGCGGCCCTTGCGCGGTCCGTAGCGCGGTGCGCACGTGGTTGTGTGGCGCTGCCGCGGTGTTGTTTGGTGGTGGTGGTTCGTGGTAATTTTTTTGAGTTGCATTCTTGGACAGTTAAATTGCCGAGCTTCGCATCCGCGGTCCCCAATGGCGGTGTCCGCGCCGCAGAAACGCTTCTACAGGCAGCGCGCTCACTCCAACCCGATGGCCGATCACACATTTGAGTAGTAAGTGCCCGGCCTAGCCGGAGGCTTTCTTCGTTTTTCCTGGTTCCTAGCCTCGGTGACGCGGCGCTACAACCCACCCTCGCTTACTCCAGCCCCTAGTTTGCGGCCTTTGTTTTGTCGTGAATAATACGATTGAGTTTGAATAACTGCTGGATGGAAAATAATGTCTACGTACAAAATATATAAGGCGAATTTGAAATGTACGCGTGTGTGTTTAGAAGCACGTGGACTGGTGGTATGATGGGCGGCGAAATGTTAACTACGTCGCCCGGTATACAGGAGGTCGTGGGTTCGATCCCTCTTTGACACCTGTATACAATATTTGGAGTTTGCGTTTCTCTCTCCCCGTGGTCGCGTGGATTTTTCTCCAAATGTTTTGCTGCGATAAATGTCCACATTATAAGCCACTTCGTTAGAGCTGTCATTTGTTGCTTCTGAAAAATAGCTACATAGCTCAGTGGGGCCTTTACTGGTAAAATACAAAAAGTTTAGTTTACGTGAGAAGTGGAGCGGTGGTGTAGCGATCCGAGTTGGATTCCCTCTTACGACTAACAACCAGTGACGATTATCTGAACCAGTCCTCTGGGTCTTCTCCCCTAGATCGACTCCGCCTGAAATGAGTACCTCTGGCAATGTGTAAACATCGCCACTAGGGGGGGAAAGGCAGCTGGTCGTGGAGCTGGGCACCCAACCCCCTCGTGTGCCGTCCCGGCCTTAATAGGTTCTCGCTTAAAGGTCTTGCCCCAATAACTTGGTCCAGGCTACAGGGGAGGGGGTTGGGGGTCTTTGTCTTGTTCTAAGGGTCCACTGCGTGGGCTGAGCCAATGCCATACAGTATTCTGTCACCAATCTTCTGCGCCCCATTATTATTACATGAGCTGGGCTGCATAAGACTTATTCTTAGTTCTTTCGGTAAAGTCAAGTTGAAGGGAAACAACAAAATAATAAAATATATAAAGCAATAAAAATTCTCACGACGTTTCGACCATAACACAAACGGTCGTCTTCAGGTGTTATGGTCGAAACGTCGTGAGAATTTTTATTGCTTTATATATTTTATTATTTTGTTGTTTCCCTTCAACGTGACTTTACCGAAAGAACTAAGAATATGAATTACTGCAGTCACGAAAGCTTTAAATCAAAATTTTGCATAAGACTTGTTTAGTGTTGGGTTATTGACACTAAACCTGCAGTTTATGACACTGAAGTGTCTCCAGGCTGAGAGAAATGGAACATCCCAACCCAAAAGGACAAGTTTTATACAGCGGGGACCCACTGCCAAATTGGGACCTTTGGCTTAGAAACTCATTCGTGTGGTTGGGTGACAGGATGGCATTTGAACTCCTTGGCAGTACTACACCGGTGGTACACGGTATATAAATACAACAAATAATAATTTTCGCAATAAATATTAATTTTCCAGTGATTCCCAACTCCGGTCATACATCTTGCGGGGTGGTGGTGGTGACCTGTCAAAATCAGCTATGATGTCAAAGCAGTCGGAAGACGAATGTTATAACGAGTGGGTGAACACGAAGCTTCATAGTCTGTTGCTGTATAGCAGCACCCAGCCCAAATGATAATTGACTGCTCCTTGTTCGAAAGACAGATTTGACTCGTGCCCTAGACTTGGTCAGACGGTTCCTCGATTCATTTCCAGAATATTTTTTTAGCGGACGATAGCATCAAAAGATTGACTCGTGGTGTCACCACATGTTCCAATGGGACAGCAGCTGCTGAATCTAAGACAACTTCTGATGGAGAGTCTGCAGCTCACTCAAGGGCAACAGTGACATCGTCAGACTGTTTTATGAGGACCGGTGTGTGTTGTTATGCTGCACTAGTGTACTGCAAATACGTCCATTTGTTCAATCCACACAGTGTACCCCTCATACACATGCTCACTCTTGCAAACGAGACAGTCCTGGTCTCTTGACTTCTCACCTGGTTAAACTAAACAAACTGAATCTTCATCCATTTACATTGCCAGTCCACGTACGTTTCATATTTAGCTGTCAAACTCTTCTCTCCATGGTTCGAATAAAGTTTAATGGAGCGCACCTATTGGAAGTAAACACCGTGTTTAATGCTCTCCAACTCAGGTAAAACTCTTTGGTTCTTTCGGTAAAGTCAAGTAGAAAGAAAATAAATTAAATAATGAATACGATGTTTCAATTGCAACACAAGCAATCGTCATCAGGTAGAACTACATTTGAGAGAGAGACAAAACAGACACGGAGACAGACAGACATGCAAGCAAAGAGAGACAACACAGAGACACAGAGAGAGACACACAACATAGACACACAGAGACCCAATGCCTCTGTGTCGAGGCCTTAAATAGAGAGAGAGGGGGGAGGGTGGGGCAGAGAGAGAGGTGGGGCTGCTGAAGCAGAGAAATTAGCATGTCAATGAGAGCGCTGTGTGGAAATCTACCCCGCGGCGGCCGGGGGAGAGAAAGACCCAACAAGCCTGGTAAATTTTAGAGAGAGTTATGTGGAAATCCACCCCAAAGCAGCCGGGGGAGAGAAGGAGCGAATGGACCTATGAGAGCCTGGTAAATTTTAGAGAGAGAAATAGGCAGTTTGAGAAAACAAACTTAGAAAAAAAAACTTTTGGAAATGTAATGCAATGCAACACAGAAAGTCGGCTAACACGCAGTTGATGCATAGCCTGGTTGATTACATTCTCCAAAGATTGCTAATTTAGAGAGAGGGGGGGTGGGGCAGAGAGAGAGGTGGGTGTGCTGGAGCAGAGAAATTAGCATGTCAATGAGAGAGCTGTGTGGAAATCCACCCTGTGGCGGATGGGGGAGAGACAGACCCAACAAGCCTGGTAAATGTTAGAGAGAGTTGTGTGGAAATCAGGTAAAACTATTTAATGCCGTAGAAAGCTCGGTCTGTCTGTAACCGGGGGTGGGCACCACGATAACCAGCAACAGCGATCTGATATGAGCACAGCTTCAGTATCGGGTTGCGTTGCGGTCAGGGATTTAGGGGAAAGCCAGCCAAATTGCCCTCTCCCGCCCTGATGCATCCTTTAATCCCATAAATTATAACTTAATTCCATTAATTACAAATTTAGAGAAATAAATATAATTGAATGTATCATTGCAACATAAGTAGGACATATAGCATCCTGCATGCCTGGTTCGAGCGCTACTGCTATTATTAAATTATGTTACATCATGATCAATCCCGACCCTGACACCTGTATATTTGGGGCTTGAACTCAATGGACAATTAACTCAATGGATCTGAATTCTTGATTCTCTTCCCCAGCCCCGTGAACCCCGAGGCTATGGACTGGTCAGTTCATTACCCAGAATTCTTCACATTGCCAAAGGTAGCAGCCAAGGAAGAGCACGGAGGCATGCCAGCTGCCGTAGCAGAGGCAGAGAATCGGCCACAGCCCCAGGTGGAATTTGCAGACATTGGATGTGGCTACGGTGGACTTCTGGGTAAGATGTAGTTTCCCACCATACCTTGCCTCACTACTCACACCTTGCACTGAAGCTTACGGTAGAATCATACGCAGCAGCAGCATCACTCAAAATCTGCTTCGGACACCGAGGTCTCGAACTGTTACAGCCTCACGTCAATATACACTACACTGTACACAACACGATACACTACACTACTATACACGACACTATACACTAAAATATATATTTTTACAGCCTCACGTCGGTTCGCTGCTGTCGCCCATTCGGTGTGGAACTCTATATCCCTTTGCACATCCGCAAAATCAAAAGTACACTGAATTTCAAGAAACATCGAAAGGCCTCTATCTGTTTGGTCAGGCTTTCGAGCAGCCCTGAGCTTGTGTCTGCCCCTCTTGAGTTGTTCACTTGTTTGCAAAATCTGGCGCGTTATTAATGCCAATATTTGATTAAGCGTAGACTTCGGAAAACACAGGACCTGTTTAGTAGTGCAAGTTTAATTGGGGCGCCACGGTGGCAAGATGTTAACTCCCTCGCCTGGTATGCAGGAGGCCGTGGGTTCGATCCTGACCCTGATGCCTGTATCTTTGGAGTTTTGCATGGTCTCCCCATGGTCGGTGTTTCCCTCCACAGTTAGAATCAACGTGTGTTTAGAGTATTTGGCTGCTGTACATTTCCACATGCTAAGTCACTTGGTTGAGCCTTACCGGGTAAATTAAAAGTAGTTTATAGTTTAATACTTTTTAAGTGAAATCGCTGGATGTCACCATGCTGTGGGTGCAGTGCCGGCTCTAGAGGGGCACGGTGTGCGTGGAGTGACATCGCTGGATGGCACCATGTTGTAAGTGCAGTGCCGGCCCTAGAGGGCACGGTGTGTGTGTGCCGACCTAAGGAGAAGGTCGGGTAAGGCCATGACACACTGGTTGACCCGGGAGGATACGTGACCGGTTTGAATGACAGGGGGCTAGAATGGTCACGTGATTCGAACCCAGGTTCTTCCTGACGGTTCTGGAAGGGGGGCGTGGCCAAGGGCGGAGCAAGCCACGCCGGAGAGAATATAAGCCATGTCCCGAGAGGGATCTTGGTTGTCCGTCCCAGGGAATAAACCCTTCATCTACGATCTTCGTTCTGCGAGAATTTCCAGCACGTGGACCCGGGCAGTATGTTGTTGGTCCCGGGTCCAGAGTTAATAGTTACTCAGTAACCAGTGTAGTTCGCCAGGGTGGTCACCACCCTAGGTCGTTGTCTTGTTAAAGGGTCACCCTGTTGTGTTGTAACTAAATAAATGCGCTGCCTCCAAGTCTAAGAGTGCGACTCAGTTGAACCCACTACACTTTTAACTATGTTGCTAACCTGTCTTAAACTGTCTTGACCTTCGATTTATGCTCATTGGTATGATTGTACAGGTCAGGTTTTATTAATTGGGCCGTGTTTGGTGGAGCAGTTATTCGAAGCTTTCTTGTTGGCTTATGGCCAGAGTTTTGCTGATCTGGACGTATATATGTTTATCTTTCGCACCATACGTAGTCAATCATACTAATCGGAAGTTGCGGGGGAGAAACAACAAACACAAAAAGCAGTTCTAAAGAAATTAGTTTTCTAATTATATTTAAAAGTGCATCGATATGTCTACGTGCACGTGCATTCCCAGTGGAGTTGTCTCAGCTCTTCCCGCGCACGCTCATCCTGGGTATGGAGATCCGTGTGAAGGTGTCGGACTACGTGCGTGACCGCATCACCGCCCTACGCACCGCCCAGCCCGGCTGCTACAGCAACATCGCCTGCATCCGCACCAACGCGATGAAGTACCTGCCAAACTTCTTCCGCAAGGGACAGGTAATGGAATTGCCTTACTGCTGCTATTGCTTGACTGGCCATCGAACATAGACGGTCATCGCATCGTGCGCTTTCAGATACGCTTCCGCGGCTGTCTGGACCGTCCTTCCTTCCGATATTAGGAATCCACTGGAGCTATGCACTTTTTAATTGTTTCGATTGAAAACTAATTTCTTTTCAACTGGCTATTTGTGTTTAGTTTGTCCTTCCCCCGCACCTCCAATTAGCAGAGTTGGCTATGTACAGTGCCAAAGAAGTTCAACGTGCATACAAACATGAGAAGTTCAATGTACATAAATACATAGGAAATTCAACGTACATACCTACATGAGAAGTTTAGCCTTCATACATGTGGTGACTAACTCGGAGACACTAAGAGTTGGAGGCACTTCTTTATTAACAAGCACCATTGGGGTTAACACTTTTATAACAAGTCCGTCTATGATCAGCGACCATTACTCAGTCAGGACAGTTGGAAGGCTGCCTGACTGTTGACGCCCCGAGATGGTGAAGACGGAAACGACGAGAAGAAGGATGGTGATGACGACGAGAAGAATGGTGAAGACTTCAGCAGCATGACGGGGATCCCACTCTATATGACAACCCCGAAGTCCCCTACAGGGGCCCCTCTAAAATTGTCAGCGTGGCCTGGCTCCGCCCCCTGCCACGCCCCCTTTCTGGAGCTTACCAATGGTTCTTGGTGTGCCCCTTCTGTGACCTTTCCCCTAGGTCCCCCCTCTGGAGTATAACCTGCTGACGTCAGGGCTGCTGTAAGCCACAGATCCCCTTCCCTGCCAGCAGGCAGCGCTAGGCTGCTACATTACTATTCTATGCCACTACACATACATTCGAAGTTCAATAAACATACATGAGAAGTTCAATTTACATACCGAACCGTACCCAACTACGTCACCACATTTCTCTGGTTCTCTTATCATTACACTGGCTACTGGTCTTGAAACGAGTAGAGTTTAAGAACCTACTTTTTAAAGCCGTGCATGGGCTGGCACCAACCACCATATATTCATGAGCTAATCCATCCGTGCACCCCCTTAAGGTCGTTAAGATCTGCAGACTCTGCCCTTCTGTGCGTACCTCTATCCCGGCTGCGTATCTGGGGTGAGCAGGCATTTGCTGTGTCTGCGCCTCGGTTATGGAATTCCCTACCTTGGAAATGAATTTAACCGACAGTTTGGATTACTTTTAAGTCGCGTCTAAAAACACATTTTTTTAGGTTCGTTTATTTAGCTGTACCTCCCCTCTTGACCTATCCTTAACCTTAATCTTACAAGGCAACTTGAGACATTAGTGGAAGGCGCCTTACAAATAAATGTTAATTATTATTACATACATGATAAGTTCAACATACATACATACATGAGAAGTTCAAAATACATACATAAAGGCCACGATGTGGTGGGGCAGTTTTATGGCAGTTGTCACCCGACAAAGCATTTACTGTAAGCAATTATGACTCCGGTGCGGGTGTAGTGTCCTTCTTCCTCGCAGCGTGTGGTGTGTGGCGCACACACTCAGTCAGAGACGAGGTATTTGCAGGAGGCACCGTCTCTATTATCTCGTTCACACCACCAACTCCGGCCTCCTCTCTCACGACCACGCTGCCGTACAGCCCGGTCCAGACATGACCCTGTCCACGTTTCACCGACGGTGTCGACCGAGACAGCCAACTACTCTCCGGCCGCACAATGATCGGGCAAAGGCAGCGGCGACGACGACAGCGAAGACGAGACGAGTCCACTCCTACAATCGGCAGCCTGGAGCTCTCGCTCTCCGCTGCTTATATTCTCCTCGGCGCGGCTTGGCTCCGCCCTAGCTGCGCCTCCCTTCTCGAACCCATCAGAGGGTTCCAGGGGCCTCCCTATGAGGTCTACCGTGACCCTTGACCCAGTTCCTCTGCCCTGCCGGCACACACACCGTGTATATGCTCGACGGCGTGTGCGCTAAGTGTCCACCGCGGTTGCTGCTGCTTGAAAGCAGTCGGCGCTGTGTCACTATTTTGGCAAATGTAACAGATGTTGTAAACAACATGGGACCTCCTTTGCCAGTACCAAAATTTAAGAATAGGTTTTCCCCTTTTTTCTGGTAACAAAACAGGTGTTATGATGTTAAAACACCAAACTGCAACCTTTTACAATGAATCATGTCTGCATTGACCACTATACTTGTGGTCAGAATGCAAACAAAAAACATACTCTGGTAATATATGCATTGTCTTTGAAACTTATTGGTCCACACCAGAGACAGCTTTCTTTGGAGCGTACGCCTTTTGGCGTCCTCTGGTCTAACGCCGTTTTGAGACCAGGCTCCAAAGAAAGCTGTCTCTGGTGTGGACCAATCAGTTTCAAAGACAATGCATATATTATCAGTGTTTTTTTTATTTGCATTCTAACCACAAGTATTGTGGTTAATGCAGACATGCTTCCTTGTAAAAGGTTTCAGTTTGGTGTTTTAACATCTTAACACCTATATTCTTGGTTCTTTCGGTAAGGTCACATAGAAGGGGAACAATAAAATAATACAAATATAAAACAAAATTCTCGACGTTTCGACTGCAACACAAGCAATCATCATCAGGTGTGATGATTGCTTGTGTTGCAGTCGAAACGTCGTGATAATTTTATTTTGTATTTTTTTATTATTTTATTGTTTCCCTTCTACGTGACTTTACCGAAAGAACCAATAATATGAATTCCCTGCAGTCACGAAAGCTTTAAATCAAAATCTCAACACCTGTTTTGTTGCCAGAAAAAAGGGGAAAACCTATTCTCACAGGTTGTGAACAAGTGTGTGGAGCTATAGTCTGCATAGCACGCAACCTTGGGTAGCCACATTCTCTCTGTAAACCGATTCGAATTTGCCATCCCATTCTCTCACAAGGGAGAGCGCAAAGATTTGGTTTAATACAGATACAGTAGATCATTGATTATCCAGCAGCTTTGGTGGGGGGGAGGGGGCACTGGTTTTTCAAAATTTCCAGAAAATCACAAAATCATTATTATTTAAAATAGCTTGTTTTTGCACATTCTTGGATGACACGTTTTTAGGTGTTGGGTTTCTGTTTTTTGTGTGTTTTAAATTAGTTAACTATGTGAAATTGGCATAAATAAACATACAAATAGACAAATGAATATTTTAAATTTAGAACGTTACAGTATTTACTGTAGCGTACTTACTACTCGAATCTCAAAGATTCCGCATGGGTTGATGTATATACGTGCAGTTTTTTCATAGTTTAAGTTGTATGTAGTGTATAATGTACTGCATATAATAAACACATTGAAATCAAGCAGACCTACTTTTTTTGTCACGCACATAGTGCCGATCGCCAGACTGGTTACAGCCTTTCGAGCGGTTTTGCCGGTTTCGCCGGATCAGCCCAGATAATGTTGGACGCCTGATAATCCCGCGCCGGATAATCGATGATCAACTGCATTCTAAAAGCTCTTGCAATCAAACATTGGTGGGAGTGATGATTGTCCTAAAATCGTCCTCGTGATTTGATGGCTTGCCGCGGATGACAAAGGATTCCACGTATAATGCCAGCCTGTGAAACAATTGAGACAAGACTTGTATTGTTACTTAGACAGTGAAGTGGCACGTTGGTTAGCGTATTAACCTGCTTCTGCTCTCTGCACCCCTCACCCCCCCCCCCTGACAGCTGAGCAAGATGTTCTTCCTATTCCCGGACCCCCACTTCAAGAAGACCAAGCACAAGTGGCGAATCATCAGCCCGACGCTGCTCGCTGAATACGCATACATCTTGCGACCTGGGGTAATACTGAAACTACATTTTTTTAAAAAGTACATTATTTTTCACAATGTCAAAATGTTTATTGATTTTGGAGGAATCCGATGAGCTATAAAGTTATTTTTCCAAAGATGTTCATTTAAGGGTCCACTGAGATGTATAGCTCTTTTCTAAAAGCAACCTGGCGACATGATAGCTGAACTAAGTGGCTTATCATCACGTGGAAATTCTTAGCTGCCAAATTACTCTTAAATACCTCCTTCATGATACCATGTCCAAGTGTTTACATGTGTGCGTAAGTATGGTGCAAAATAAGTTCAACATACGTATATACATACGTGTTTGTCTCTGTTGCGATGAGAAATAATAGATTTAAGCAGAATAGGCTGTTAGTAGTACACAGCAGCAACAATACAAATTGGACGTATACGTTTATATTGTGCCCCATTGCACACAATGGTGTGTGTGCGTGCGGGTTTTGCCCCCCAGGGTCTGGTCTACACCATCACAGATGTGCACGAGGTCCACCGGTGGATGCTCAAGCATTTTGAGGAACACCCGCTCTTCCATCACGTTCCCCTCGATGAGTTGGTGAGCGAGCGCTGTTGGGGTCTCCTCGGGTGTCCGTTCTTTATCCGCACGCGTTTGTGCACTTGTCTGCGTGTTTATGTGTGCATGTTTGTACATTCAATGTTTGGAAGACTGTCCACTACAGTAGTATATTATGACTGCAGGAATTCATATTCTTTGGGTCTTTCGGTAAAGTCACGTAGATAGGTTCAAAGAAAATAACAAAAGCTACGACGTTTCGATCACAACACAAGCGGTGGTCATTAGGAAAAGGGGGTTAGCCTCTAAAGGCAAACTGTGTATAAAGGTTTAAAATGGGCATAGCCAAAGTGTCAGCAGCATGGGCGGAGTAGCTAATGTTAATGTAAGGGATTAAAAATTGTGTGCCCCAGCATGTAGGGCGATGTAAGAGGTGATGGTAGTAGTGGGCAATGATGGTGCTGGTGGGGGGTTTCCACCAATAAAGGGCTACTGCTAGTGGTGATGGTAGTAGTGGGCAGTGATGGTCCTGGTGGTGGGCTTCCACCAATTAAAGGGCTGCCAGGTTTAAAATGGAAAAATTACAGCCAGTTATGACTTAAACTGGTTGATAACGTCCTTCCAGTGATTACTGAGTTTGTACCCATCTTCTTGGTTGAGAAGATGGGATGTCTGTATATAAGGATGGCTTCATGAATGAATCTTTGTTGATAGCCAGTGGGTTCGCAAAGTACCTTCGTCTTCGAGAAATCAATTTCTTGTGAGCCCACCACATTAAAACAATGATCAGACCACGGCTGAGGTATCGGTTCTACCGTGTTTCAGATCTGCCTTATGTTCACGAACACGGTCCGTGACCTGTCGCGTAGTTTCCCCAATGTAACTACTGCCGCAGACACAGCTTAGTTTGTAGACGCCGGGGTATTGTATGTCAGGGATCACATCCTTCACAGATTTGATCAGATCACAAATTTTATGTACTGTGTTAAATTGAACCTGGATCTTGTATTTGCTCATGATTTTGGAGATCTTTTTGGTGACCCCCTGCTATGTATGGCAAGGTGATGGTTTTGATTGGGTCCTCAGATGGTTCTTTCCCAACGGTTGGGGTGATAGCGTTACGGATTGTGTAGTCTGAATATCCATTCGTCTTGAGAGCTTGGTGTATGTGTTCCAGTTCACTGTCTAGGTGATGATGGTCGGAAATACATCGAGCTCTGTGGTGTCGAGTTTTGATGAGGGAATTCTTCTGGGATGGATGGTGGTGGGAGTCAGGTTTTAGGTAGGCATCCGTATGGGTTGCTTACCTGTAGACAGAGTGGCCCATTGAGCCATCTGGTCTCTGTTCGATTAAAACATCGAAGAATGGTAGCTTGCCATCATTTTCCACCTCCATGGTGAATTTGATGGCTGGGTGTATGGAATTGATGTGGTTGAGGAATTGGTTCAGAGCTGGTTGGCCATGTGGCCAGATGACGAATGTGTCATCTACGTACCTCTTCCACAAGGACGGACATAGAGTGGATGGCGTCTGTCTCAAATTTTTCCAGGAAAACATTGGCTACAACCGGAGATGAGGGAGAACCCATTGGGGTACCTTCAACTTATTTGTAGAATGTTACATTCCAGGTGAAATAAGTGTTGGTGAGGCAGTGTCTCACCAGGACCAGTACATCAGCATTCAGTCCATTGTTGGACCAAATCTTCAATAATTGCAATGGTGTCAGGCACAGGAACTTTGGTAAACAAAGAGACTACATCGAAATTAACAAGCAAATCACCTGGAGATAGTGAGATGTCCTTAATTAACGATACCAAGTGAACTGAGTTAAGTACAGCTGAGGCGGTCCTACCAGTGAATGGTTGTAAGGTCTCAGATAGAAATCGGGCCAGTTTGTAGGTGGGTGAGTCAATGGTGGAGACGATAGCACGAAGGCGTGTACCTTCTTTATGTATTTTTTGTAAGCCATACAATCTGGGTGGTCTAGCAGCAGAGGGTTTTAAGGAAAACCGCTTGGTTGGTTCGATTTAAAGATGTCGAATCAGTGATGATATTGTTGGTTTTCGTAACGTGGCTGTTGGTGGGATCTCTTTAAATTTTTGTATAGCTACCATCATTAAGTAGGTCCTGAATTTTGTTATTGTATGTGGTTTTGTCCATGATGACCGTGGCATTGCCATTGTCGGCTGAGAGGATGATAGTGTCATCCCTCTTTTTTTATTGAGACAGCTCTAAACGCTCATCCTTACTGATGTTGCTGATAGGTGTCTTAGCATTTTTGAGGATTACAGCGATTTCTGATCTTGCCACGTTTACAATGATATCACCTCCTTTAGCTAGAACCAATTTAGGGCTGTCGGAAATTAGACTGTTACTCTGATTCATAACAATCTTGTCAATGTCTAACTTTTTAACGTGTGGATCTGGCTTCTTCTTGGCAAGGAGGTTGAACTTGGAAATCAGGTTATCTTTGCATTTAGCTTACATTGAGGTGGCTGAAGAGGCTGTCATGTTATCTACATGTTCCCAATCAGATGTACAGTGAGGGAAAAAAGTATTTGATCCCCTGCTGATTTTGTACATTTGCCCACTGACAAAGAAATGATCAGTCTATAATTTTAATGGTAGGTTTATTTGAACAGTGAGAGACAGAATAACAACAAAATAATTCAGAAAAACGCATGTCAAAAATGTTATAAATTGATTTGCATTTTTTAGAGGGAAATAAGTATTTGACCCCTCTGCAAAACATGACTTAGTACTTGGTGGCAAAACCCTTGTTGGCAATCACAGAGGTCAGACGTTTCTTGTAGTTGGCCACCAAGTTTGCACACATCTCAGGAGGGATTTTGTCCCACTCCTCTTTGCAGATCTTCTCCAAGTCATTAAGGTTTCGAGACTAACGTTTGGCAAATCGAACCTTCAGCTCCCTCCACAAATTTTCTATGGGATTAAGGTCGGGAGACTGGCTAGGCCACTCCAGGACCTTAATGTGCTTCTTCTTGAGCCACTCCTTTGTTGCCTTGGCCGTGTGTTTTGGGTCATTGTCATGCTGGAATACCCATCCACGACCTATTTTCAATGCCCTGGCTGAGGGAAAGAGGTTCTCACCCAAGATTTGACGGTACATGGCCCCGTCCATCGTCCCTTTGATGCGGTGAAGTTGTCCTGTCCCCTTAGCAGAAAAAACCCCCAAAGCATAATGTTTCCACCTCCATGTTTGACGGTGGAGATGGTGTTCTTGGGGTCATAGGCAGCATTCCTCCTCCTCCAAACACGGCGAGTTGAGTTGATGCCAAAGAGCTCCATTTTGGTCTCATCTGACCACAACACTTTCACCCAGTTGTCCTCTGAATCATTCAGATGTTCATTGGCAAACTTCAGACGGGCATGTATATGTGCTTTCTTGAGCAGGGGGACCTTGCGGGCGCTGCAGGATTTCAGTCCTTCACGGCGTAGTGTGTTACCAATTGTTTTCTTGGTGACTATGGTCCCAGCTGCCTTGAGATCATTGCAAGATCCTCCCGTGTAGTTCTGGGCTGATTCCTCACCGTTCTCATGTTCATTGCAACTCCACGAGGTGAAATCTTGCATGGAGCCCCAGGCTGAGGGAGATTGACAGTTCTTTTGTGTTTCTTCCATTTGCGAATAATCGCACCAACTGTTGTCACCTTCTCACCAAGCTGCTTGGCAATGGTTTTGTAGCCCATTCCAGCCTTGTGTAGGTCTACAATCTTGTCCCTGACATCCTTGGAGAGCTCTTTGGTCTTGGCCATGGTGGAGAGTTTGGAATCTTGATTGATTGCCTCTGTGGACAGGTGTCTTTTATACAGGTAACAAGCTGAGGTTAGCACTCCCTTTAAGAGTGTGCTCCTAATCTCAGCTCGTTACCTGTATAAAAGACACCTGGGAGCCAGAAATCTTTCTGATTGAGAGGGGGTCAAATACTTATTTCCCTCATAAAAATACAAATCAATTTATAACATTTTTGACATGCGTTTTTCTGGATTTTCTTGTTGTTATTCTGTCTCTCACTTTTCAAATAAACCTACCATTAAAATTATAGACTGATCATTTCTTTGTCAGTGGACAAACGTATAACATCAGCAGGGGATCAAATACTTTTTTCCCTCACTGTAGACATTTTTTCTGTCAATGTTAAGTGTGATTTCAAGAGAGTCTTGTCTAAAATGGAGGACACTGGCTGCACTGTTCATGCAGTGCAGCTTATCAGCCGCCCTGGGTTTATTTCCAACCAGCGACGTCCTCACAAGACACCTCTTCCGCCTCTATCAGTGAGTGGGAGCTTGGCGTGCTTCAGCATCGCCAGCAAGTGGGAGCTCGACATGTTCCATTCACTGCTCAACACCACCAGCGAGTGGGAACGTGATGAAGACTGTCCACTGCTCAACACGAGAGAGTGGGTTTGCCTGCTGCCCAGCACCACCAGTGAATGGGAGCTCGGCGAGGTTCGTCCACCCTGCTGCTTCACCTGCGAGCTGGAGCATAGCCCGTGGACAGCTAACCCACTTGACCTCAAGTTCTTCTGGCCGCTCCATTGTACGCGCTGCATGCGTGGTCGTGTCCGCCCGCGTACGGTCTCAACAAGTGTTTACGTAGGCGTGTACGCACCCGCCACATGCGTGGAAACGCGTGCTGACGGCGTGTATCTTGGACACCACTACCTGGACTTGCTTCTCTGGGCAGCACAGCCGCTGATCGGAGTCCACCCGAATCCTGCCCCCCCACCCAACACCACTACCCATACAGCGTGGGCTGATATAATACGGCTTCGACATGCACCATCTCTTCATTACCTGCACCTGGAATCCGCGCTCCTGAGAACGCTTTCTGGCCTCGGGCTTCTTCGCGGTCAACGTCAGAGAGTGCATCGGCACCATGGTTGCAGAGGTGGTATGGGCCACTGTTCACATGTCAACCTTCAACCAGCTATTTCCTCTGATCTCTCGACGCCGTGCCTCTTCGGATCCTCACATCCACCTTTACCCATCCGCCTCGGCCTACTCAACTCACGCTGCAT